AATGAAGCCCGGGAAATTCAAATCCCGGGCTTCATTAGCAAGTGCGGTATGCATACATTACCCTCCTAGTTCGAACTAGGAGGGTAGTGTAGACATACCCTTAGTGTCATGTCTGCATTAATGCAACTAGTGAAGCTGAAATGAGACTACAGTATGAGCACCTTCTGGCTAGACTGGGTATAATTGCACATTGCTTCCCCGCCACACCTGCTGCAGCGATGCCCCTGTTGCAGTTAATGGATGGAAAATGCTTAGCTTGGTATTGGGGAGGGGGTACCCTAGGTCGGGATGGGGGATTGGAAACATGCCTGCCAGGGTCGGCCTTTCACCTGTTGATTACAAGAACGTTCCTTCTGCAGGCAAACAATTTGTCCAGGTGACAGCCACACAATGACTAGTAGCATCCTGGAGCAGGGCTAGTCTTGGTGACATTTTGTAAGCAGTTGGAAATTAATTTGGATAAATGGTTACAGTCTCCTAGTTGGGTGATGAAGAGAATGTAGATCTCTCAGGACAATTGGATTCAATGCTCGAGGTTCTGGGGAGTTGGCCTAGGTCAACTGTAGCCCCTTTTTAAGAACGCAGAATGGTTATGGATGGGTGTCACCTCTTTTCATCTGTTTTGTTTCCCCATTATTATTGTAGTATGATAATACAATCCTTATGTCCCAGTCAGTCAGTCTGGCTCAGCAGTCTAGATTTGTGTGAATGGAACAAAGTCAGAGGTTTGTGCCAATTTACTATATCCCATAATACCTTGATCACATTCACTTTAATTCTTAAAGGCATTGTATTTATCTCTAAGGCAAACTAGTGCAGGTTGTGCTAATACTTCCAGTTTCTAACAGCAGAGTTGAAAGTGGAAGAGGCTGGTGTTTAGCTCATGAATATGTTCATATCCAAGCAACATTATCCCCACTGCCCTACTATTAGGGTTACATGCCAGAAGGATGGATCCTGACTCCTAGCTTGTAAGGCCTTGATTTTTTTCCTGCTTGATTGCATCAAGGACAGTGTATGTTCAGTAAAAGATTCTGACTCCTTCCTACCCTAAGCACCAACTCCACGGGTGCTCTGGAATACCAGCAGGCCTCCTGCCCCTGCCCAGCTCCTTCCTCCCATTCCACCACCTCCTGCCTACTATGGATTAACTGGTTAGCAGCACACAGGAAGGGCTGAGGGGGGAAGGAGTGAGGGTAGAAGCACTTGGGCTAGGGGATAGTGTGGGGTAGGAAGAGGCAGGGCTTGGTGGAAAGGGTGATGTGGGGTACGGATTTGGGGCAGAGCAAGGGTTAAGCACCCCCTTCACTTTTGGCAACTAAGAAAGATGGTACATTTGCTTCCCACAATACCCAGACACTTGTGCCTGTAAAAAAATAAAAAATAAAAGAAGGATTAATCAATATTTCTTCCCGTTGATTTTTAAAAAGTGGTTAGTATACAGGAAATTGAGAGAAAGAGATACTTACAAAGCAATGCTTTGTCCCCACAGTTCACTCATTGTTCCTAACTCTTTTCATAACAAAAAACACTGAGAAAATATACAGTTCCAAAAAATTTTAATGCTCAAACAGACTGCAAGTGTAAAAAGTCTGCTTCACAGAAAGAGTTATTGTACACAAAATAAATAAGTTACAGTTTAAGCAAAAGCACAAGTGGCTTTTTAAAGTGCATTTGTATAAAGGCCGTTAGCCTATATTCTCACACTCCATTGGCTCAATGTAAAAATGCACACATCTGCTATGTGTGGTTAAAATGAATATCCCACTGAACTTGGAGAGGAATGGCTCAGTTAAGAATGATCCAACCAGTTTCACTACCTAGAGCCAACTGTATGTCATGCAATACTCAACTGACAAAGTGAGCTGCTTCCATACCTACTACAAAGAATGGGATGGAAGGGGAGAAATGGAAAGGGTTTTGCACTACACAAGTACTAAGGACTTTCATTTCAACTCAGGACTTGCATCTGAAAAGCAGCAATAGTGTAACGAGCATATTTTAAAATTAGATTTTTTCAGGCAGTAAAAAAGTTATTTGTGGTGATAAAATACACTTTGACCAGAATTTTTGTACCCAAAAATATTGTGCACAGGGTCTAACTCTCAGTAATAATGTAGCTAGTAAAAATATTGTAGCATTGTTTTTACAGTCATGAAACTCAGTCATGGACTCATTTTACACTGACTTTTCAAAACAAGCTCAATTGTGCTTCTGAATATATGGGTTAAAACCAAGCTTTAACGGCCATTAAAATACAGACATGCTGTCCTTCATTCAATACTGAAAACAAGCATACAACTGTAAGACTCAAATAGTTATTTCCAATGAGTAAGCTGCAGTCAGCGTATTTTTTTTGTCACCAAACTTAGTTAAGTGATGTGGTTGTACATCAAGCCAACTGTGTCCCATCCTAGGAAAACAAGACTAAAGTTTTGTGGGTTTTCTTTTCGATTATTTAAAAGTTTGGTTTTCAAAAGAAGATTGATGTTCCATTCGCTTTCTATAACCACTTATGGAGCTCATTCAAGCTGCACTGTTTCTCCTTTAAGCAACTGTTTATTTCTAAAGCACTTCAAAAGAACCTCTGAACCATCCTTCTTTCACGCTGCCTTGTACTCCACAGTGCCACTGTTTAACATTCCAAGGTTGGAACTTTTTGACAAGTTGAGAAGAAAAACCGCCACTTAACTTTGCTTTCAGACAGAAGTGACAGTTCTAACTTTAGCAGACAAAGCTTGCTTAAACCTTCTCTTCAGATCCTGCATGTTCGGTGATTTTGGCCTTGGGATAAGAGAGGTTCTTCTCTTCTCAGGGGTGCTAGTTATCTGTTGTTTACTAACTTCTTTACACAGGACATGAAAGGCATTAAAGACGTCATTGTAGTTCTCACTGACAGACACTTCATAAAAAGTACAACCCAGCATGTTTGCTAGTTGAAGTCCATGCTGTGGCTCCACTTCTTTAATATGCAAGAGATCAGCTTTATTTGCTACAACAACAACAGGGACTCTGTTTCCTGGATGTAACTGTCGAACTTGCTGGTGAAGGTGACTAAGTAGTTCATAGCTCTTATAATCTGTGATGGAGAAAACAATCACAACAGCATCTGCCCATCGAATGCATCTGTTCAACTGTTCATTACAGTCCAGATTGTGTTCATGGATCTGAGAAAGAGGAATTGTTTTAAATTAGATGGTTGTCAGAAAAAAAAAAAGTTATCCGACTTAAAGCCTGTAATGCTAAATACAAATGTATTGTAACATAAAATGTATTTTGTAAATAGAGCTATATTTTGTTTGCACCTTCAGAAAGTATCTTGATCCAGCTGCAGAAATCTGGAGTAAATAACACTGGAGTTTGCCATACTCCAATGGAAAACTGACCTGAGTGGTTCTGCATGCAGAAAAAAAAGCTTTGTATTTCCACAGAATGGGAAATTAACTGGCTAGACAGTAAGTCTGGGGAAGCAAATATATGAGCTGGAAGCATTTAAACCTGGAAAATTGCCCAGTTCAAAAAGGCAAAATCCAGCACTGCTCTTGTCTACACACTCAAACTTTCCATAATACAAGTGTAAGTCATAACAAATCCTAATGAATGCAGCCACAACACTATGGGGTTTTAGTTTCTATTGTGCATGTTTGTGAAACTTTGAAGTTTATTAGGCTGTAGTAATGACATTTTTCCTTCCAAGTTTTTCTAATGCATTTCTTGTTGGCACAAAAATAGTAAGTTCCTTCTTCACAGTCAGTGTTCCTAACAGATTAGAATGTGAATCCATATTGGATAAATCAGCCTTTCCATACAAGACTCCTTGTATCTTCAAGAGTACAAAGATTAATTGAAGTAGCGGGTTGTTTATTTTTGCTGTCAATGCACTATACACATACAGTACATCAAGGTTTCACTGTTTATAAATGAGGTTACCAGTTTTGCCATTCAAAACACTTGATATTAAAATGGTAGTAAACCATTTTCTAGAAAGACTGATAAGTAGTTAAACAGCTCTTTGAGCAAAAGAAGATACAAAGATTAAAGTTTGTTTTACCATTTTAAGAGATGTGTAGCTTACCTGAACACCTGGTGTATCCTGTACTTGAATAGCAAGCATCTCTCCATCTATTTGGATCTGTCTGCTATAAAGGTTACCTAACAATAAGAACATTTTGTTACAAATAAGCTCCTAGTCATATGAGCAGACACAAAAATTGCCTGTGGTGGGGTGACATAAATGCAGAAGAGCACAGGACAATATAAGTGTTTTATCAGTAGCCAAACAATTTATAAAGGGTTAGCAACTGCAATCAGAGACTAACAACTTTAACATTAAGACAGAGGAAAGGCTGTAGTGGTCTGTGATTATCATCAGAACCCACAGAAGTTAGTTTTGTATTGGCTTGCTTGCAAGTTTTCAGTATTTTAAATTTTATAAAAGACTTGGAGCGGATTGGGTCTTTCAAGAGAACTGGACAATTTTAATGATCAAAGACAAACCAACTTTTATTATAGAAAATCAGTGCCTTGGACAACTAGGAATTCTGCACTTGAGCAAATATTTTCTCTTTGAAGTGTTTCAGGATTGGATGCATTTCCAGTCAATATGGTCTTGAAATGTCTACAGTCATATGTCCCTACAATAATAGCCATATCTTGATTGGTTTAGGATGGCACTAGAAACACTCTTTTCTTGAATATATTTGTTGCTGTATTTCTGTAGGATAGCCAATTCCTAGTCAGATTACCTGGATCTAGGCTCATTTTTTTTAAAACTTTCTGTCACTCATACCTCTTGTCTAAGCTCATTTGCTAGTCTGTCTTCCCTAGATCATTAACTACTTTTAGAAGTGGAAGGAAGAGAACAGGTCCAGTGGTACTGGAACAGTTGTTACAGTAGGGATGCTGAGCGCCATTAAACAAAACTGTAAATTCTACATAAAGATGGAAATTATTTCAAGCCAGAAGTGTGGCAGCAACTCTGGTTCCAGCACACCCGAAAAGGGAAAGCTGGGTTACCCCAAGATCACTCAGCTAGAACCACAAGACTGAACAAGATAAGCCAGGGGAAGTGGGGGGTTCTTGTGGGTTTAACAAGTCAAAGTGCAGCTCAAACACTGTGATAATCTCGCTATCGTTATCCCCATCAAAATAGCTGGAGGATGCGCCTAGTCCGCTTTTAGCCTGGCTTCGGTACACTACGGTGCAAGGCTGCTTTTTGCTTTGCTGCTAAGTGGCCCCTGCACGTTACAGTGAGCCAGGCCCAGGGAGGGGGTGGGGTGGGGGGAGAACCGGGGGATTAGATGTTCACTGTTCAAGGCACAAAGTCCCCCAGCCACTTGCCGTACCTGCGTTTCTCTCATAGTCCCCGATGAAGCGCTTTGTGAGGAATCTCACCACCAGGGCTGCAAGAGACCCAAGAAAAAGCCGTTTTTATATATATATATATATATAT